TTGTCCAATATCAAATATCTTGCTTTAGAACTCCATGAGCACGTTTGAATCTATTTAATTCATGCCCAAACCTATAACCATGCCTAAGGAAAGTCAAACCGAAAATTAATCGGAAATTGAATGGGAAAACCGAGGGATGAGAGGGTCACAGTTCTCCCACTTTCCCTTAGCCTAACTAAAATTTTAAGAAACATAGGGGAAAACCTGCCAAACTTTTTAATATTACAAAAAGATAGGAAGGAGAGAGAGGAGTTAGAAAATAAAGGGAAGAGAAATATTATACAAGATTTAAATTTATGATAAATTTATAATTAAAAAAGTAGTAATCAACACTTTAAATTGAGGATTGGCTTCAAATGCGATTGAATTAATGTATTATTAATTTAAATTTGTACTTACTTAAGGTAATTATAGCACATTAAAATTGAACTTTTTAGACCCAAAACAGTAAATCAACAACAAAATAAAAATAATTGTATTGTGTTATATCCACTATAATTTTGAATTTTAAAGTTATAACTTATAATTTCATTTTTTATGTTAAGCATAAAGTAAGAGTAAGTTATAACATAAAAATACAATTATATCGAATAAAGAACCAAAAGATTACAAATTACTAAAATATAATTTTAAATTTTAAGTCGATATCAAATTCTGATAAGAAATGAGCCTAAATAATGAATTTTATTTTCATAATAACATATTACATGATCAATTGAGCCAATCGAGATCGACAACCAAATTAGGCGTGGCCGAAGTTAGACTAAGCTAAGCATGACAAAACTGAGCCAGGCTCAATTGGTCGAGTCGAGTCTCGATACTCTCTTGAACGAGTCCAGCCAAGTCGCTAAAATATGAACGAGCCAAGCTGAGCTCTGAGCCGACTCACCTCTTTTCTTGTCCTTTCATCATGTATTTTTGTTAGTTTTCAAATAACAACCAACGCGTTTGAAGAACGAATTTCTTGGCAAACCAAAACCCTATAAAAGGAGCATATAAAATAACCCTTTAACAAAATAACCCTCTCTTCCATTGCAAAATGCAGTTCTTCAACTTGGTTTCCATTCTTCTTTTTGTATCTTCTCTCTTTTTATTTAAGAAATGGAAGAAATCAAATAACCAAACAAAAAGATTGCCTCCAGGTCCATGGAAAGTGCCTTTTCTTGGAAGCATGTTTCATATGCTAGGTGGACTTCCACACCATGTCCTAACAAATTTAGCCAAAAAATACGGACCCCTTATGCACGTTAAACTAGGGAAAATGTCTGTAGTTGAAGTTACTTCTCTTGAGATGGCAAAAGAAGTACTAAAAACTCATGACCTAGCTTTTGCATCTAGGCCTAAACTTGTGGCCATTGAGATTGGCTGCTATAACGGGACAGATATAGCCTCTTCTCGCTATGGCGCTTACTGGAGACAAATACGTAAAATTTGTGTCTTGGAATTGCTTAGTGCAAAAAATGTCCGATCGTTTAGTTCGATCCGACGTGATGAAGTTTGTCGTCTCATTGAATATTTTCGATCATTACCTGGTGAGCCAGTTAATGTTACAAAAAGGATATATTTATTGTCAGGCTCTATATATTGAAATCAGCATTTGGAAAAGTAATCAAGGAGCAAGACGAATGTATGCGACTAATCAAAGAAGTTTCAGGATTAGTAGGAGGATTTGATGTAGCTAACATATTCCCTTCACTGAAGTATCTTCATATGCTAAGTGGAAAGAAGGGTAGAATTATGTATCTGCACCATAAGATAGATGCTATTGTTGAGAATGTCATCAATGAGCACAAGCAAAATCTTGCAACTGGCAAGATGAATGGTGAATTAGGAGATGAAGATCTAATTGATGTATTGCTATGACTTGTGAAGGATGGAGGCCTTCAATTTCGAATCACCGCTGACAACATCAAGGCCACTATTATTGTAAGTACTATATATAATGCATAATGATATAGTCTCAAGTAGTACTTCTGATCTTGTTTTCATAATGAAATGTATGCATTAAAAAGGTTAAAATAATTATGTCAACCGCCATAACTTAGTATTTTAGGGTAATGTAATAATAGCTAAATATCATGTTTTGAAAATAATTTCGGCCTTGAAGTTATAAGAAATTTAAATGTTCCAGTAGAAGATGAAAAGATTATAAATATAAATAGCTAGCAATCACGACATATATCAAACTTGCTCATAAATGCAGGACTTGTTTGCTGGTGGAACAGAAACTTCATCATCAAATAATTACTTGGGCCATGGAAGAAATGATGAAGAATCCAAGTGTACTCATCAAAGCTCAAGCTGAGGTAAAAGATGCCTTTAAAGGTAACGAAACTTTCGATGAAAATGATGCAGAGGAGTTGAAATACCTAAAGTTAGTCTTTAAAGAAACTTCTAAACTCGATCCTCCACTTCCATTGTTGATCCCAAGAGAATGTAGGGAAGAACAAATATAAACGGCTACACTATTCCTTTGGAAACCGTAGTCATGGTTAATGCTTGGGCAATGGGAAGAGATCCAAAATATTGGGTGGATGAAGAGAGCTTTCAGCCAGAAATATTTCAACATAGCATTATGAATTTTGTTGGTAATAATTTTGATATCTTCCCTTTGGCAGTGGAAGAAGGATTTGCCCTGGGATATCATTTGGTTTGACTAATGTTTATTTGCCACTGGCTCAACTATTGTATCACTTTGATTGGAATCTTCCTACCGGAATCAATCCAAGTGACTTTGACTTAACTGAATCGGTTGGATTAGCTGTTATTAGAAAGAGTGACCTTTACTTGATTGCAACTCCTTATCCACCTTCGCCAGAGTAATTTGGTGGCATCAAACATGGTTAAAACTAATCTTTTCTTCTTGTGCACTCATAATGCATCTGTCTTAACAATAGGAAATGTATCATCACAATTTTACATAGAGAATTTCAAATAAATATTTTCTCTGTTAAATTTGGGAATGTACTGAGTGGGGGGTTGTAGTATACCTAATTTTCTTACGCCCTTTATAAGGAATATAAACTATTTTATCGTTATATTCTATTATGTTAATCGTCCCTATCCCCAGATTTTCTTGTTAAGATGTGTGAGCACCTAATTTTTGACTATATTTAAAATTTTCACCACTTTTGTTTTTTAGTATTTAAATAGTTTTAAATTTAATTTTGATATTTTAACTTTTATATTATTTTTATTAGTAGGCTTTATTAGAGAATATGTAATATTTTTAACAAAGTCTATTTCGTAGAGGGCGGAAGAATTTATTTGAATCACAGATCAAATCTAATAAAATTACTTCCTACATTCCCTACACTATATCTTTGTCCCATCACCCACCTACTATACTATTCACGTGTCACATCTCACTCCCTTTTATTATTCCCTTGTAACATCATCCACCTACTACACTATTCACGTGTCACTATTCCTTATCTCATCGTTCATTTTCAACACTCCTCCTCTATATGTACACACACAAAAAAAAAAAAAATGACCGGATGGACCTCCTTCTTCCCCAAGCGAAAAATACACGAAACCTCTAGTAATACCCACCTCTTTGACGCCAAAAAAATCAGTCAAAATTCAGCACCATTTTAGCTACAAAAATCAACTGAAACTATCCCAAAACATAGCAAAAAATAGCCACGAATTTCATCCTGAATTCCAGCAAAAGGCAGCCCGAAATTATAGCAAAAGTTGCCCAAAAATGCAGCAAAGTAGCTGCAAAACCTACCTCCATTAACGCCAATTTTCATCTTCAAAACTGCCGCAAAAACGCAGCGATTCTCCATAAAAAAAACCAGCTTGCAAATATCACAAAACCAGCAGGAAAAAGCCACTCTTGGTCGCTAAAATCTGAGTGAAAACAGTCCGGGAAAAGTCCCCGATGAGGTCTTGGTTCGAGGTTCCGGTGTACGGTCAGTTACGAGTTGACGACGAAAGTCTCATTTTTGTTTCTGGATCTCTTCACTTTGGACAAGATTATGTACGAGTCGGAGATTTTTTCTTATCAATATATTTGAAAATCGTTGCATATTCAAGGTGTTTTTTCATGCTCTTATCAGTATTTCCATCAAAGTTTCATGTTTTGAATTATCGGTGTGATTATGTGGTGTGTTTAACTGTTGAATCAATGTGAAAGTTTGAGTGATTTATTGCTCTTTATTTCATCAACGACAAATGCTACTGTGTTTTGAATCAATCTTTTACTAAGTACAGATCTTGTTTAATAGTTATTCTTGTCAAGTGGGGTTGTTATGGCTTTATGTTGGGTGTGAGTATTAATCATGAATTGGAAAAGTCAAATGAACTACTGTTTGATTTGGTAGAAATCACGTTGGAGTTTAGCATTAGCTTTCATTTTATTCCATTAATTTTCTTCATCAAGAAATAAGTATAGATACAATAGAATGAATAAGTAGGATTTATTAACTTGTCGCATTATCTCACTATACCCGGCATCATTGATACCTCTAGTAATCTTTAATAATCAATCTTATATTTTTCGTAATTCTATCTCGTAACCTTTGAGCCTCACAATAATCCCAAACTTAGCAAATAATTAAACAACTATGAATAACGTAGTGTGCTTTAGGTGTGGCTAATAATAGATTATCGTGACTATGGGTACGGTTGCGTGGCATAATCATGGTACATAATTTCAAATTCGAGTGCACGCTTGTGTAACTTGACCTTAACTGCAACGTCATAATAAAATTATAACATTATTTATAATGTAATTTTGTCCTTCCATAAATAATTAAGCAATGAAAGCGGACATAGGTAAAACATGAAAACCAATAAAACATAGTTTATCAAAAAATAATTCAAGCTAAATTTAATCAATAAAAGTGATCGTGCTAAAATCACAAAACTCGGGAATGCCTAACACCTTCTCCCAGATTAACAGAATTCCTTACCCGATCTTTTGTATTCGCGGACTATAAAAATAGAGTCAATTTCATCGATTTGGGATTTAAAATACACTAGTGACTTGGGACACCATAAATTATTCCAAGTGGCGACTCTGAATATATAAATAATTCCATTTCGATTAATGTCACTTTAATTGGAAAAACTTCCCTATCCCCTCGGGAAAAAGGAGGTGTGACAGCCATGGCGACTCCGCTGGGGAACTAACTAGAATTCGAACTTGTACATGTTGACTTTTATTTGGCTTTATTAATTTTGTATATACTGTGATTTTATTTGGGCTTAATGTGCTACTTATCTGCTTTTTACTGCTTTGATATTGTTGAACTGTACATATCAACTGTCTTCTCTCGCACCCTCTATGAGTCTTCTTGATATTAAAATTGGGCATTTGCTTGACATTGCCCGCTTTCTTTAAGATAGCCGAGATGCTTGTCACCCGGTAAAGGATTTTAGTCACACATGTTTTAGGCGAGGAGCACCACCAGCTAAGTCGGAAAGCAATGCTACTGGTACGCTGACCCTTCTCGACTCGAGTTTGTCCGCCCGAATAAGCCAGTCTAGATACCTTCTCCACTAGGAATTAAACCTAAAAGAACAAACCTCATGCCAGATATCCTTAGTAGGTTCACTTTATTTACATCACGTGCATTTGACTTAGTGAAACTCGTCACAGGGGTCGGGTCCGTATAAGACAGGTATCCTCTTTGATACCATCATGTTCACTTATGTGCTACTTGCTACATCATTTGGAAGGCTTTCTTGCTTTCTTGACCGACTTTAGAAAATTAGTTGAGCGAAATTATAAAAAAAAAATCATTCTCCTTGTTTAGTACAAATAATCTATTTTTTTAAAGATTTTTTAGTAGTCTGGCGTGAGGTGTAAAGATTAATTTTCATAAAAATCAAAAGCGTAAAATAGTCATTTTGACCGAACAATACGGGTCTGATTTTCACCGGATGTGAGATACATAGGCAAACCTCATCAGTTCCGGCCCCCAATTTTCAAAAATCCGAAAAGATATTTTTCTTTAATTCATTCTTTAGAAGTTTTTTTTCAGACCAAAAATCCAAAAATATTTTCTTCCTTTTTTTAAAAGTCTTTCTCCCAAAATTCAAAAAAAAAAATCAAAATCCAAACATATTTTATGTCTTCTTTATAAGTCTTTCTTTTTGGAAATAAAAAAAAATTAGTTTATTTTCTTTAATCCTAATATTCCCGAACTACGCAAGATCTGATTCATATTCTCACATGATACGTAGGCAACCCATATCAGGTTCGATTGACTATTTTAAAAAACACCTTGATAATAATAAGGATCGACTAAGTCCATTCTAACGTGTCTCTTATTTTGAATTGTAAAGAAAGTTTGAGGTGGTCGGTTTGTGGAAAGCTGGCAACACAAGATCCAGGAAACAAATGCCATTGACAACTGACATCGAAGGTGTTACAAGTGCTCAAGAGACTCAAGGTCAGAGGGATCAACAAAAGTCTACTGTAGTTGAGAAAAATAGAGTACTGAAGCAGCAAATGACTGAAATGTGTCAAGCATGGGCCGATGGCCAAGGACCGCCTTTTTCTATTCATGGTTTCCCAGAGTTCACATCCATCTCGACTACTACCATTCCAATTTCATTATCTGATCAATCATATCTACCTGGGTTTCGTCTTTATCCCAATTGTACGCCTACAGCTGGAACTTCTGTTGTGCGCTCCCAAAGTGGGCCATTGACAACCAACCAGACAACCACTACTATTATGCCCGTCTTCACCATCCCATAGCCGATGGTGGTGTAGAGGAAAACTCACGAGTCACAATTTACTACCCAGCAAGAACAATACCACTCGTACCTATTTGATCTTCCTGTAAAGATTGAGAAGACTGCCCGAAAGATGGCACAGGAAGAAATGACCCAAAGAATGAAAAGCTTAGAACAAAAGTTGAAAAACATGAAAGGATTGGCAGGTCAGAAGAGTATTGCTTTCAAGGATCTATGTATGTTCCCTGATGTTCGTTTGCCACTTGGTTTCAAGACTCCCAAATTTAAAAAGTATGATGGACATGGAGACCCCATAGCCCACCTGAAAAGGTATTGCAATCAACTAAGAGGTGCGGGAGGAAAGGAAGAATTACTAATGGCTTACTTTGGGGAAAGCCTTACGGGAGTAGCCTCCGAATGGTTTATGGATCAAGACACATCTTGTTGGTATGTTTGGGATAGCATGGCCCGGGCCTTTGTCAAACAGTTCCAATACAACATCGACATCTCCCCAGACCGCAATTCCATTTCAAACCTGAAGAAGAAACCAACTGAAAGTTTCAGGGAATATACCATTAAATGGAGAGAGCAAGCGGCTAGAGTTAAGACACCCATGGATGACCACGAGCTAATCACTGTCTTCCTTCAGGCTCAAGAGCCAGATTATTTTCAAAACATGATGTTCGTAGTTGGAAAATCCTTCTCGGAAGCAATCAAAATGGGGGAAATGGTTGAGAATGACCTTAAGACATGCAAAATCATAAGTCAAGCAGTTCTCAAAGTCACAACTCAGGCTGTCCATATTGAATCTATTAATTTTAGTGACATGAATGAGAAGGATGAAGAAACCATGATGACGTCAAGGTCGAGAAGAGGTCCTAGGAGAACATCTCGAAGGTATAAGCAGCCTCGTCTGGTTTCCTATGATTCCCCTCAGCACTACCACCCACCTCAGAACTCACAGTACTCTGTTGCTCCACCTCAGTACGTTGTCCAGCCACCAAGACACCCCAGAAGGCGAGCACCAGCACCCCCAGAAGGCGAGCACCAGCACCGCAAATCACCACCACCCTCCACAAAATTTTTAAGTGCCATATAACCCACATCCAAGCCAGGGGTATAGAGGG